AGTTTTTCAAGCATCTAGAGAGTACTGAATACGTTAGTGCAATATGGTGGTGCTTTTTCTTTATTATTTTTCCGATGTCCTTTTTCTTTAATGCCGATTTTGGGAAAACATGGTGAAAATTCTTTGTTGTTTAAATTGATTGAAGAAGAGTAGTCAGAATGAGTCCACTTTCTTTGGGTAGAAAAAACAGAAAAATGGGTACATATGTTTATATATCATAATTGAATATGGGCAGGCACAGTTGTATTGTATCCTATTCTTTTGATATTTTGGATAGATAATTATATTTTGATATTTTGATTTATATAAAGTTTCTTAATAGTGAAAAATGCTTATTTACTAGATAAGGTTATTGATATGTAAAATAATTGTTGGGGCCAAAAATTTAGGATGTGAAGAAAATATTTCGTATCTTTTCATTCAACATTTTGAATTACTAGCCTGTATTCATGATAGGTAGTTTATTTTCATGATTTTAATTTTCACAAATAATTGCCTGAGAATAAAAGAAGTGTAAAATTAGATTTCAGAATCTTTTGTTTAAATTGGATCTATATGACTTTGTACTCTTATCCTTTTTTATTGTCTCTAATGATAGATAATGTAATTAGAGTTTGAGGTGATTATTAGGTGTGAAACTGGACATTCGTTATTATTTGAGTGAAGGAGTTGGTAATACATGCAGGTTTATAGAGCGTCCATAACTTGATCTTCTTGCAAAAGCCACAAGGAATGGGCTGTTGGTCCCTTCAATGGGCAAGAGTTCCTTGATGGAGACATTTGGTTTTAGGGATAATTTCAGAAACCTCCCTTGAAGTTTCTGACTATTTCACTGGCCTCCCTCTAGATTTCAAAAATTATACTAACCTCCCCCTGAAATTAATTATCTTGTAACATTTAGACCCAATTGATAATTAAAAAGTAATATTATGAGAAAAAAGATAATATGATTCTATCATTGTCTCTTATCTATTACATTATTTAATTAATATAACACCAACCCACACATTAAAAAAAACTGCAATTTAATATTTATCATTAGCGATCAAATCTCATATGGTATCAAAAAATAGTATATCATGTTATATTTTTCATTTAATATAAGATCCAAATTACTCTTTTCAATTATATACCCGTTATCAAACATGATCAATAACAAATAATCAAAAAATTTACAACCAAAAATATTACATAGAACAAACTTTAATATCATAAATGTTTTTATCAACATATTAAGGTTAGCTGTTGAGAATTTTATGGTATTAAATTTCACTCTTTGTAATATTTTGGTTATAAATTTTTTTTGATTATTTGTTGTTGATCATGTTTGACGATGAGTTTGTAACTAAAAAGATCAATTTAGATGTTACATTAAATAAAATATATAGAATGATATACTATTTTTTGATACCATATGTGATTTAATCCCTGATGATAAACAGAAAATTCTAATATTTTCTTTAATATTTGGGTGGGCATTAGATTAATTAAATAATTTAGTAGATGAGGGGTAATGGTGAAATCATATTATTTTCTCTCTCCTAATATCACTTTTTAATTGTTGGTTGGATCTAAATGCTACAAGATAATAGACCTCAAAAGAGGTTAGTATAATTTTTAAAACCAAGAGAGAGGCTAGTGAAACAATCAATAGTAGTAACTTTAAGGGAGGTTTTTGGAATTATCCCTTGATTTTGTCAAACTGACAGGGGAGGTAGTAAAGATTTTAGAAAATTTAAGAGGCTGAGTGATATTATGAAAAGCGCGAAGAGTGGTTTTGGGAAATTATCCCTTACAAATGTCAATGCACAACGGTCCCAGCACCTAATCCTCCATGTTCACATCTTCTGGACAGTTCTTCTGCTGCTTCCTTGTTAAAGGTGACAAAGAAATCCAGCTCACACATGTTCTATTACAGATCCAATAATTGAGTCCTGGGATCAAAGTCAAACTTTGCTAACCGGGCAACCTTGGTGGTCAAGTTTGTGTGGTCAACTTTGTCCAATAACCAATTGTTTTCACTATACATGAAAAATCCACTTCTCTTTCGAGGGTATTCAGCTTTTCCTCAATTGCTTTGAGATGCTTCCGTGGCCACCAATCCATGGACTAGTCCGTGTTGGACGTCAAGTAATTCTGACTACGACTAAGGACCGCATCTTTCATCTTACACGCCTTATAAGAGCAGGGCAATTCCAACAAGCTGAAAGTAAAAAGAACTTTCCAAAATTTCCAAATCCCAAATTCTTCCAATGGCCAAAAATGATCATTCAACAGTCCAAAACCAAATTGCTAGTATTCAAGAAACACATGAAGTAACTGTGGTGATGGTTCCCCTTCCTTTACAAGGTCATCTCAACCAACTCCTGCATCTCTCCCGCCTCATCTCCTCCTACAATATACCCGTTCACTATGTTGGCACGGCCACTCATACTCGCCAAGCAAAGGTCCGAGTCCAAGGTTGGGATCCTCTCGCCATTTCCAACATCCATTTCCACGAATTTTCCACCCCTTCTTATGAAGCTCCTCCTCCCGACCCAAACGCCCCAACAAAATTTCCCACTCAACTCATCCCAGTGTTGAATGCATCCGTCAAACTCCGGGAGCCAGTTCACGCACTTCTGCAACAACTTTCTAGCACAACGAGAAGATTGGTTGTTATTTGTGACTCTGTTACGCCATATGTCATCAAGGATGTGGGTTTAATACCGAATGCAGAGTCCTACACGTTTATAAGTATCTCAGCCTTCGCTATTTACACGTTTTCTTGGGAACAAGAAGGGAAACCTAGAGTATTTGAGCCTGAAATACTTGAAGCACTCGAAAGTCTTCCATCACATGAAAGTTCTTTACCTCAGGAGGTGACAGATTTCTTAAAATTGCAAAAGGAATCCATGCCAATTATCTCTGGCGATCTGTACAACACATGCAGGTTTATAGAGGGTCCGTACCTTGATCTTCTTGCAAAAGCCAAAACTGCCGATTCCCACAAGCAATGGGCTGTTGGTCCCTTCAATCCAGTTGAGATCAATGGGCAGAAAAACACAGAACAGAGACACTATTGCCTGGAGTGGCTTGACAAACAAGGCCCAAACTCGGTCATTTTTGTTTGCTTTGGTTCGAATACTTCAGTATCACACGAGGAAGCCGCGCAGATCGCGATTGGATTAGAGAAAAGCGGGCAAAAGTTCATATGGATACTGAAGGATGGAGATCAAGGAGATATCTTCAAGGGAGAAGTTAGGAGAGCTCAGTTGCCCGGAGGATTCGAAGAAAGAACTGAAGGAAGAGGAATAATTGTGAGGGATTGGGCACCTCAACTGGAGATTCTTGGACATTCATCAACAGGTGGATTCATGAGTCACTGCGGATGGAACTCGTGTATGGAAAGCATTAGCATGGGAGTGCCCGTGGCAGCATGGCCTATGCATTCTGAGCAGCCCAGAAACGCAATAATACTGGAAAAGGTGCTGAAGATTGGTCTATCAGTAAGGGACTGGTCTCGGCGGGACGAACTTGTGACATCCATGGCTGTTGAAAATGCTGTGAGAAGATTGATGGATTCAGCTGAAGGAGAAGAGATGAGGCAAAGGGCAAAAGAATTGAGCAAAGCAGTAAAGGATTCTGTTATGGAAGGCGGTACTAGTCGCTTGGAGATGGATTCTTTCATTGCTCATATTCGTAGGTAGATTTTCTGTTCATCCAAACAAAATAATTATGTTCTTTAATCAGGAGAAATTCTGATTAATAAGGACTGTAACTTCTTGAGTTAGATTAAGTGCAATGAAATCTTAATTAGACTGCAGAAGATCAGCTTTCTAACAGTATTTCCATTAATTAAACACTTTGGCTCTCCTGTTGCGATAGTTCTTGTGCTATGTTTATGTTTATTGGCTAGTAGTTCTTGCTTGTTCAAAATTTTTGCACATCTCGATTTTGATCTCTAATTGTAAAGTAGAGACAAACACAAAACATCAGTTCTTGGCTCATTCAATTGTCTTTTTAGACAATAATATTAAATTGTCTTTTTCCTTAAAGATAATTGAACCTCATTCATTCATCCAGCAAAATCCAATTCATCCAAGAAATGTTACGTCATTGAAGAAGAATAGTCAAGAGTGCACATGATTCCTGGTCATTCGTGTATGTGCCCGTTAACCACTGGGCCATTGGCTCAGTGGCCACCACGTAATTGGTGGGGTGGGAGGCAAGGATCATCAAAAATATCACATCTAAGTGGATTGTTTCCAAAAAAAATTCAAGCGAGTGTGTTGTGCACCGTCTATCTAGTCCGATGGTAATTCAGTCTCTTCCGGATTATTTCTTAGCCTCCTTAGATCCGCCCCCTTCCCTTAATGTAGGATAGATTAGATTTATCGTCTAAAAAAAAATGTATGTGCCAGTTGTACGTGACAAACATAAAAATTTTCTTCTCTGATGAATTTTGCTTTTTCAATATTTAATCACTTAAGATTTTTGTACTGGTTCTCAAGTCCCAATTGTATATCATATGCTAAATTTGTGGTATGGGATTGAATGACACAGCAATTGTGATGTCGTGCCGTTCTGTACTATTATAGTGCTCGTTCCATCATTTGATTTACAAATACATTATTAATTTATTATATTGTTGTACTCGTTAAAAAAAAAAGTAATCTTCATTCCTTGTATATAAGAAAAGATGAAGGTTTAGTGCTTTTCTTTTCTTTTACCAAGTGGCTTCTTAATTATTTGACAAGTGACAAGGTCAAATATTTCTTGCAAATTGTCTGAAGCCTTCTCTTAATATTTCTTTCAAATTGTCCGAAACCTTCTCTTTCTTTTGGCATTGAACTGTTTCTTTACCTTATTAGTGCTTTCTTTTTTCTTTTGCCATGTGGAAAAGTCAAATATGCCTTCCAAATTGTCCGAAACATGTTCTTTCTTTTGGCATTAAACAGTTTCTTTCTCAAATTGCCATTGAAGTCTTTTCTTCCTTTCTCTCTACCAGACGGCTATTCTGAGCCAAAATATGGTGCGCCTATTTTGAGCAAATCCAATTCCAAACGGCTATTCTACCAAACCCAATTCGAAACGCCTATTCTAGCCAAAAAGTTGGGATTTTTTACATGATTTGGGAGATGGGTTTTGTGAGTTCCTTCTTCAAGCCAGTAGGTCAACTGCTACTCCTGCAGACACTTGATTTCATGTTGTAGAGATTGCTGGTCACTCATATGGTGTTTGTACTTCAAAGGAGGAAAGTTAGGAGCAGGTGAATTACTCTTGTCTACACTTGCTGTGGTTTCCTCTTTCTCTAATATCAAATTAACCTATTTCATGTTGCAAGAATTGATTTCATGTTAACCCATTTCTCTTTCTATTAATTTCATGTTGCAAGAATTGTTGGATACTCACATGATAATTGTACTTCAAATGAGCGAAATTGGGAACTTTTTGTTAGATTAGGTATGACATTCTATTCTCATTAGCTTTGCCATTCAATTTTCTGCTCAAATCATGCTTTCTTTTCAATTCTCATCAGCCGTACGATTATGATGAGAAATATTTTTTCTGATGTGATTTTTCCCTTATTCCAATTATGATAAGAAATAGGTTTCCTATTCATTTAGCCTGTAACCTTTCCAGTGAATTACGAAATCAAAAAATGGAATAGAGGTATTTATCAGTGCATGGTGCTGGCTCCTCTGTCTTACAAAATGCAAGAAGAAGCATCTTGATCTTTACACTTTCTCTTTGGAGTCTCTTTGGTGAGAAAAAGTTTTTCCCTTTTTTTTTGTCAAATTTTCCCTGTATAAGTAATAGACAGATTAATAAATTCTAATATACACATATGTTTCAATTGATAGGTTCCTTCTGCTGCAGTTCATATCATCAGTCAAGGAATCCTTTAACTTGAAGGTCAGCTTGTTGTCTTTCTTGAATCTATGAGCAGCTTTTCTTCATTTTATGTGACTATATTTTCAAAAGTGAAATTTCACCTTTCCTTTTTTTTTAGTAGTTTTTCTTCAGTTTCTGCTTCATTTATTTTAAGTTTGCTGGTGCTATTTGTTTTATGTGATCCTTTGTGAAACAAATGGTTGTTTATTTGAGTAGGTGATTGTGTTAATATTTTCTCAATCCAATTGTGTTGCTGCAACCCATTCACCTAAAAAAACAAGCCAAAAATGAAAATACGAATCCAGCTCCCAGTTCAATAATCCTTATTTTGAAATTTGGTGAATTCTTGAATATATATATATATATATATATATATATATATATATTATTAGTGGAATACCTACAAAAAAGAGAGATCCATTTGCTGATGTGATTCTGGCCAATTGAGCTATCCTACTGGTTTGTATATAATCAATGTACTATCAAACAGTCAAATTGCTATATACACTAGATAAAAAATTGTAGTAATGGACATCAATAACATATTTTGTGAGCCAAAGTCATTAGCACAATATATTTTGTGAGACAAACTTTTGCTTGTGCTGATTTTGGGGTTGTGGCTGCTATGCTAAAGTTATTATTACATGACAAGTTCCTTTTTAACTAATTTCAACCTCCTGCTACTGGTGTTTTTCTCTTTAATCACAATGGACAATTTGGTAACACATAAAAATAAGAAGTTATACAGAACCTAAGATAGTTTTTCTTAGAATGAATTATAGTTATAATATCTCAGATGAGATATGTGACCTGTTGTTGTTCTAAATGAGAAATAGGAGTGATTAACAATTTTCCAGAGAACTTAGTGTGTGCCTTGTTTGCTGTTTCGTTTAGTCTAGACTTTTTTAGGGCATGAAAAGCTTTTAGAGAAAACACCATCTTTCTCTAACCTTTATTGTACCTTCTCAATTTCAAACCATTGATCAACCTAGAGATCATTGATAGATTTGATGCTTCCTTTAAGCTTTTTTCACAAGTAATCATGATCATTTATTTGGTTTAAGAAGGATAAGAAAAAAAAAAAAACAATTGGTGTTTTGCTCTTGTTGCTTCACTTTCCCCACGTGGTATGGTTTATTTTTTTGCTATCTTTTTTTTTTTTTTTAATTTTTCATTTTTTTTAGTGTAAGTTGAAGGATTCGAACCTGAGACCTCTTACTTACACTCCCTCCCCCCATGCCACCTAACCCATCCCTCCCCCATCTTTTCTTGTTCATCTTTCACCTGATAAAAAACAATAAATTACCTTTACTCTCTTGCTTATTTATATTCATTTATTAATATTTTTTTAAATTTTGAACTTTTCCCCCTTATCTGCATTGAATTTTATTCTTTTTTTTTTTGCTTTAATTGCAAAATTAAAATTTTCATTTAAATTGAAGTTGCCTCTGTTGTAGGCTATTTGTGCTTTGTTCTTGCAAGTTTGCATACGTTGCTATGAGGTTTGTCTAAAAAACTCAAGATCAAATTTAAGATTTATGCTTTTGATTTGCACTTTTTTTTATGTACTTAGAGTTTTGAAACTGTTATGTTATTGATTAAATTAGAGGCCACATGTTTTCTGTTGGAAAGTTTTAGCTTTTATTAACATTAATAACCATTAAGAAATATAAAATATGTTCTTCTCCTTAAAATCTGATAGTAAGTTTTGTTTATTATTGCTTGAGTTCTTGGTTATTATCTTGGTATCTATACATGACATGTTTGGCTCGAGTTAAAACTGACTATGTGTATGTACTTTTAGTTGCTATTGTATTAGTTAATCATTAGTCAGACCTCTGTGCTATGCTATTGAATGCGAAAAAGAAAGACAAGCGAACACTCAAATTCAATAGATGGTCTCTTTGACGAAGTTAGTTGTAACAACCCCACTTTCCCCTAAGGCGAACCAAAGGGGTTAGCGGACTGCCTGCTCAGCTCTCGCCAGGACTACGGATCAGATTAGCACGATCTAATACTTTTCGGGTCATACCACCGCGTGAAAACAAGTCGAACCCACAAAAATAAAAAAAAAACAAAGTCGGAGTCGGCCATGAATAGTAACCGACCCGTCAGAACCCAATCGAAAGAGCACACAAACACTCATATCGGAACTTTAGCGATAACAATCCAAAATGACATACAAAAGTTTTCAAAAGTTGATACATATACACGGTTTGCCAAATCAAAAGAGAAAACGCCCCAAAAGTACGCTTAGGGTTTTAATACATGAGCTATACAAAAGATATGTTCCACTAGCTCAATTTGGCAGCCATTTGTCAAATCCAGACCAAAAGTATTTATTTTTCCTGTAAGGAAAACAAAAGGAACAGAACGGGGTGAGCTTGCGCTCAATGAGGTACCAAACAGATAGCATTAAAATCATGGCATTTCACATTTAACAAATCAGATGTAAAGCAAAGGAACTAATGATTCAAATCAGAAGGATACAGGTGGCTCTCAGGAGCCAAATTTCCAGCGCAGTACTTGATCCAAACCAGTTGACTCTCCGTCAACGTATATAGAACCAACGGGTCCGTAGACCCCTCTTTACACCGAATTCCGTCCACCAAACACCCCTTTGCCGGGCCCGCTCACCGTAACCGAACAGAAATGGTAATACTCGAGTATACCCGGAATCAAGGGTCTCAATACCCACAATCCCCGAACAGACTACCGTGGTTCGTTATCTAATCGTCCAGGCCCTTGCCGGCCCGACTCGAATAACTTAGCCACAGGATTGAGCTCATAGGTCATAGAAATCCGAACAGATGCAGACACAGATAACAGATTCAAATTTTGCATAGTAAATTGGCATATGAACAGACTAGAGAACGAGTGTGATAAAGTACACCCTCGTCTCGAACAAATAAACAGATTGCAGAGCAGAAATCAAGTTAAACAGCAATGGAGGGGAGTGGTACACTCACCGGCTCAACTTCAAAAGTTTTCACTTCAGATTGGCCTTAATCGCCAAGAAACCCTAAAATAATCAAAATAAACCAATTGAAGGTTTCACATCCAGAATCGAGTAAACAGAGTGCACATGTGAGGCTCGACTACTAGTCGTATACCTCACCAAATAATTACTAATGCAAGGGTGCAAAACCTGATTTTCGGGAATAAAAGGGTAACATGAAAATCTAGGCTCAAGCAACCCAAAAGTCCTTTCATTTTCACCAAAAGGCAAATCCAACTTAAAGAACCAAACGGCCTAGAAAATCGGGCAGCACTTCCCCTAAATTCTTACTTTTCCAGCCATTAAGGCTTCATTATTTCCTCAAATCAGTCCCAACACCTCACACAAAAGTCATCTCATTCCCAAAAGCCGTTCACTAGGCTCAAAGTAGTACAAGTACAAAAGTTAGGTAGGAAACAACCGAAATGAAAGCAAGCCCTAAAAGAGACTCGATAACGAGTCATATAGCAATGCTAAACACAACCCCAATAGGGTTTCATATGCATAAATGAGCATAATAGCAAACCAGAAATTAGAAAATGGCCTTAGTCTTGGCCCCAAATAGAAAACTGTTTTGCCCTTATTATGCGGTAATGGTGTAAAATTCTCTACGGTCATCGGATGGGGGTGTAAGACCCACCGTTTCGAAGCTATGAAACAGGGCTACAATAATGTAGAAGGCCACTCAGTCCAAATCCTAGCACAACTAGGTCGAAAATGCAGAATACCACAACCTGAACCGTAATTGCAGCTTTACAAATCACACAAAACTGTAATCAGTATAATTCGGTCTATACAGGTCCAAATGCATTGATTCCAAAGGCATAAGGTAGCTAAGACATCCCTCTACATTTCATCAGAAGACACCAACAACAAAATCCAAACCAATTCCAGTCAAAACAGACAATTACTATCGCAGTTCGCACATTCTGTTCACCCAGAACAGCAACAGTAAAAACGGCATAACTCACTCTACACTACTCCAAATGCCCTGAAATTTTGCAGGCACTTCAAACTCATCAATACCTACAACTTTTATGTTTTGAGTAAAGTCCAATTCGGCCTCTATCTATGACCTAAAATTTCGGACAGAATGTTCAACCAAGAACCCAAATTTTCCAGAAATTCTTCCAAATCCAAAATTGATTGCAATTTTCTATCATATGCACCTACTAGAGCCAAAGCCCCTTATTACCAACCATCAAAAACAACCACACCATCAAGATCATATGAAACCAGAAAATTCCTCAAAAAATAAAAAACTCAACCAAATCACTTCAAACCAAGAAATAATCCACAATTTCTAACACAATAGCCACCATTAGGCATAAATTCAACATCATTAGCTATAAAAGAATGTTCAATCATCACTTACCTAGTAAACAAGAGAAGAGGAGTTGTAGACCACCTTAGCTCTTCCAAAAAACTTCACTAAGCAACTCACTAGCACCTAATGGAAGGCTTTTATGGAATAGAAACTAAGTTAGGCAAGTGGTTTGGAAGATTGAGCTATATGGAAGCTTGAAATTTGAAGCAATTCTCTTCCTTCTTGAGCTCTCAAGAGTCGGCCAACAAGAGGTAAGAAAGAGTGAATTTTTTAGTCAATTTTTGAGATATTTAATCCATGGTAAGAAAAGTCAAAAATGTCCAACAAGTGGACCAATCACATAGTGCCACTTGGCACTTCATTTAATGCCTTCCTATCACTTGATTCCTCTCACATCAATGCCATGTCACCCTCTACTTATCTCTTAACACCCGATAAATTTCCACCAGTATCCGAAATTTAACCTAATTGGCCGAATTTTTCCGAACTTTTCGCACTAGTGGGTCCCACGTCCAATATATATTCTTAATTTTTTAAAAATTCTCCAATGCTAGAAAAATCATCTCAAAACCATAATTGCTCATAAAATCCATCCAGAAAATATTTCTAAGCCAGAAAATGCAAAAATTACGCAATTAAAGGAACTAAAACCCTAGGAAAATATTAGGGAAATACGGGTTCTCACACTCTCTCCCCCTTAAAAGAATTTCGTCCTCGAAATTTTCTTATCAACGGAATCTATCAAATCTAAAGTACCCAACGGA